AGGAGGTTTGGGGGGCCCGTGAAGACACAGTGACCTCCTTTTGAGAGGACATACAACTCATCAAACATTGACAGCAGGAGTGAGTTTGGCTGATGTATTGACGTCACGATTGCCATCCGATGTCTCTCTGATAGTTGTCTCAAACATTTGATAACCTGATGTATCGGTTAAATATAGTCGACATTTGTATTATTGTATTATAGTATAAATGTTTATTTGTTTTATAGTTTTAAATACCAATTCCGAGGCATTGCTGTCGAGACCACTGGTGGGCTCATCGATACACAAGAGGTTTGGCTTCATTTGCTGAACCAATTCGAGTCCGACGGACAGCCGCTTCTGTTCGCCACCACTGCACGTCTGCACACTATTGTCGGCGCAGTCCTCCAGAAGCAGTTCACACAATATCTTCCGGACATTCAAGTTGTGGTCAAAGTTTCCGTTATTATCGACGGCATCAAAATCATCGCTATAATGATAGTTCAAATCGAAACCAATTTCATTGCTTGAGTCCAAACACAATAGGGATTGACCCGTTTGGGCAAAATTATCCCGATATAGATGTCCAACTGTTACCCTATTCTTGATTTTCGACGCAAATAATAGGGATTCTCTATATTGCAAATTATAATCTCATAAAATTATATAATTGATAAAAATAAATTATACATATTTTAAACCTTTTAAAATCCTCACCTAACAGTTAATCCTTTCAGTATGTGCTCGTCCACCGATTGCATTATAAAACATGTCTTTAAATTGGTGTATTTGTTAACATATATTTGTGTTTCACTCGTTAAATCAGAATTTGATCGCATATTAATGCACTTCAAAAGAGTGGTCTTTCCGGCACCGGACGGACCCATGAGTGCCGTCAGTGTATGGAAATTGATTCGTCCGGAAAGGGACACCAGAATTGTCTTTTGTTTTCTACTAAATAAACTTTTTTGGACACAACTTAAGTTAGTCCACGCCATCGCCAACTCATTCTTGTAATTATAAGTTTCACTCATTATTACTTTGATTTCTTAATTACACAAACTTTTATTATAACTATAAGTTAATTTAAAAGTAAAATATAACAAGTGCTTAGTAAGATACTAGCGATTAATATAATAAATTTTATTTTATTTTATTTTTGGTGATCATCAAATGAACTGTATTCTTAGAATAGTGATGATTAAAATAGACATTTATTTGAAGCCTACTTCCTTTAAACATAATTAAATAATCTTTTTAATGTAAATGTTTACTCTATAAGTTCGTGTTATGATCTATTTATATCACGATATTTATAATGAAGAAATCAATATATTTATTTAAAATAATCCTTTTTAAAGTTTACAAAAATATTAAATATTTGGCACCTTTATTTCAAATTATGACATAAGTGTCCATAAACATTTATTATTAATTATAAATAAAGATAACATCATAATCATAGATGTTAATAACCAATTAAGTATAATATTTATATAATCATATTCGAAGTTATTTAGATTTAAATGTTCATGTGATTAATATTTTAGTTATCGACAAGTTATCTGAGATAATAATAATCACAGAAACTGATACTCAACAGACGGCTTGCTTTTTAATTTAATAAAAGATTATTAAATTAAAATTTCTCGTGTGAATATTTGCTCTCACTTTCATTATTCACACATTCACAGCATTTCAATATTGAACGATTAAATAACTTTTTAGTATTTCCAGTGAAATTCATAAATTAGGGGAAGGGTGTCTTTCATTTTCAATGTTACAGTATTAATACTACTTTTATATAAATTCAGTAATAATTTCCCATTATAGAAATTAAATTAAAGTTTAAAATTCCTATATTAGACTCTTGTAAATATAATCTAAAATGAACATTTATTGATTTAAAATTATCATTATTAATATATTGATAAAATTAATTTGTTTGAGTGTATTGTAAATGATTTATTATTAATTTTTATTTTAATAATACAAATATTAATATAGAGTTGTATTATAATTATCAGTCAATATCTGTCAGTTGGATCACTCGCTCTCGCCCTCCTTGGGTGCGACGGTAGGGCTGTCGCCATTGGGCGCCGGCTTCTTCTTGGGGTTGAATATCTTGTCGACCGTCTCCTTAATCCCCTTCTCAAACTTCGGCGCGTATTCTTTCACAGTATCGCTGATGGCCTGACCGGCCTTTTTGAAGATGTCTCCCACTTTCGCTATGAACTGATTGCCCACACCTTTGTCCTCGTGATGATCGTCACCAGTGGTCTCCCGCTTATACCTTCTGTTATACTGTCCCTCAGATTCCTGTTGTTGTTGTTCACCATTCATGTCGTGGTGGTGATGATGGTGTCTGCGGTGGTGGTGGTGCTTGTGGTGCTTCTCCAACCCCTCCTATATTATAAAATACATATTAGGTTAACCAGACCTCTCCATTCATATAAGCACAGGTAGGCATACCTTTGCGGGCTCTGAATCGACAGTGTTCTTGGCGGTCAACACTTTATTGCTGACGACATCCATATCGGCGTTGAGGTCGACCACAGCATCGGTTTCGCCGCTCGCGTCGATGGTTCGCGTCAACACTTTACTCGCTTTATATGAATACAAAAATACATTAATCAATGAATACAGGAATCAATTGTTCAGACATTCATACAGTTATTATTTTGTTTGTTAACAAACATCTCCTTTGTCTGTGTCTTCCATTTGCTGACCACATAAGCCCTGGACTTGGAGGACGACTCCAGTTTGGCATCACTGGAAGCCTTTATATTACCGGTCTGTTTGAAACTCCTTTGGGATAAGGCCTTCACGAGTGGCATCAGTTTGGATATGATGTGCGCGTGACCCGGGAATGGGTGCGAGCGATGGTGTCTGGGCTCACCAAATGAGTCCATGTTTTCGTGATGGCCCCCGTGGTGGTGGTGGTGGTGGTGCTTATGGTGGTGATGACGGTGTCTGTCCTCTTCGGGCTCAAAGGGCTTCGCGTCTCTACTTTCGTGGTATTCATTCATTGGTGCCTCCGGTCTAACATAGGCTTTGATTTCAATCAAAGCTAATGATAGGCACAAGACTTGAAATAAAAGGATTTTTGAATTCATGTCCAACTGCTTAAGAGACGGCGATTTTTATGTTTCAATTTTAATGATACACTCGTTTCGTATCAGTGTTTTAGTTTTTATATAAAGTTTTATTTGTGAGGTATTTAATTGTTTGCACACATTTTGTGTTGAATTATATTTTTTCGTTTTTCTGTTTGTTTCATTTGATTAGTTAGTATTTATAATAAGAAAATCTGATTAAATAAATAAATTAGCATGTATTCTTTACGTAACAATTAATGTATTCAATGTACTAAAAATGACATTTAATTTCGTT